GAACCTTGGAGCTGCACCCCCAAGACTACAAAGACTACTGCTCAGACTCCAAGGGTATGACATGACAGTGAAATATAAACCTGGAAAGGAGATGCTTCTGTCTGATGCCATGTCAAGACTCAATCCTCTGCCTCCTGAGTCTCCTGAAATGCACATGAAAGTTGACTTTGTAATGTTCTCAGACAAGAAGCTACTGGAGATCCGCACCGCAACATCAGAGGACTGTGAACTTTGCATCCTGAGAGATGTAATCCTAGAGGGATGGCCAGAAGAAAGGCGTAAACTTGACAAAAGCCTGGTCAAATACTGGCCATACAGGGACGAGATGTCCATTGAAGACGGGATTATCCTGAAAGGTGCAAGAATTGTCATCCCCAAATGCCTGACAAAGGAATACCTGAACAAGCTACATGAGGGACATCAAGGCATCATCAAATGCCAACTGAGAGCAAAGAGCTGTATCTTCTGGAATGGCATAAATCAGGAGATCGAGATGATGGTACGGAAATGTTCTGTATGTCAAGAATATGGGAACTCCCTGCCATCAGAGACTCTGCAGCCACATGAAATTCCTGTCAGACCTTGGCAATTTGTCACAACTGACCTCTTCACACTTGATGGAAGAGAGTACCTTCTTGTTGCTGACGTATACTCAAAGTATCCAATTGTAAAGCAGTTACCACAGCAAGCAACAAGTAGTGCTGTCATCAGACTGCTTAAGGAAATCTTCTCTGAACAAGGAACCCCCGAGAGACTAATGAGCGACAATGGACCTCAATACAATAGTGCCATATTCGTAGAGTTTGCCAGAGACTGGAATTTCCAACATGTAACCTCAAGCCCGAGATATCCACAATCCAATGGATTTATAGAGAGGCAAGTACAAACTGTCAAGAACACCATGAAGAAAGCTAAGAGAGATAACATAGGCGTCAACAAGGCATTGCAATGCCTGAGAGCCACTCCATTGGACAGCCATCTACCATCTCCAGCAGAGCTGTTACTGGGGAGGAAGATCCAAACCAACATACCGACCAGAATTCGGAACCAGTCACCCCAAAAGGATGACATCTACCAGAGACTGCAGACCAGGCAGGATGACCAGAAGAAATACTTTGACGACAAGCACGCTACCAACCTTCCCCCACTACACAAAGGACAAGAAGTCAGAATCCAAAATCAAGAGACTGGTAGATGGGACAGAGGAAAGATCACAAACAGGAGACCAGAACCAAGGTCATATGAAGTAGAGACATCATCAGGTTACACTCTGCGACGAAATCGTAGGCACATCAAACCAACCCAAGAGAGGGACAGCATGGAACAAAACCGTCAACATGCTAGTGATAGACATAATGATGTACACGACCAGCAGAATGCACAAACAGAACAAACACAAAGCAAACCAGACACACCATCGAATCACCACCAACCATACACCACCAGATCAGGTCGTACTATTAAGAAACCAGAGAGATACGATATGTAAAATATTGATATGGTTGGAGATAATTCAAATAATTGTTGTCTTTTGCTTTCTTTAACAATGTTTACAAGGTTTTGAGTAGTTAGATTTAAAGAGACATATTGAATATGTCATGTTTTGTTTATTAATTAAGTTTATTGCATTATAAAGCAAGATGATAACTGAAGTCTGATCAAAACATTTTAGATAAATAAGCAAACAATTCGCATTCAAATGAAAAACAAATGTGATAGAATTTTCAAATTGTTTTTTGAAAAAAACAACAACAACAAACAAACAAAAAAAAGGGACAAAATTGTAAGTTCATATTAGCACAAGTTTAATTTCTTAAGCAAAGAATTTTAAAAAGATATTTTAAACAGTATGGATCTAAATATGAAATTAAGTTTTCATTGAGAAGAGGGATTGTGATATGATATCATTTTATATCTACATGTATGTTCAACAAATGACCTATATCATATGCCCATGATTATTGCTACCGCAGATTGTAATGCGGCTTCACATACATCTAATAAATACAACAAGTTGTTCATATTTGAGTTCTACAAAATCCAGCCTCAAGAAGACTCTTATTATAAATCATAATTCGTGTACAACACTTTACAGGCCTACCTCTTTTCAGTAAAGCTCTCATTTATTTTTTTCTTCTGTTACAAATTTTTTTTTTTTCTATTTGAAGACATCATAGCGCGAATTCTATTGTTTTCTGGGCTAACTACGCCCGAATCCTTATTGGTTGCGGTTATTGGTCGCTAGAGAGCTAACTTGCGCGAACGTGTACATGAATACGTGTAGACCGCAAAACACTTATCCACGTACAATAGCGCTGTGCACGATGTACTGTACAGCTCTAATAATAAAATCAAACGTGGCAGGTTGACTTTATTTTCTTTCCCCATAAAAAATATACATTTCGATTTTCTCCATCTTTTAAACAAGTAAAACTCAGAATATCAGAAGTTTTTTTCAAGGTGAATACATTCCTACGTATAATTTGAAGGAAAAAAAAACAGTTTAAAAGTCAGTGTTAGTGAACTATATTATTCTTGTATCCAGTATTTTTTGTATGACGTCTATATATTTATATATATATATATATATATATATATATATATATATACATATATTATATCCATGTATATATGTATATATTTTATATATATATCTGTATATATATATATATATATATATATATATATCTTTCTATCTATAACTATCTAGCTATCATGTTTCTATTCATAACACCCATGCTATAAGGCAGCATTTCATTGATGCTTTTGCAATATGTTTACATCATAGGCCTATGTTTCTATTTTCTCAATTTCCTTGTGGTATTATATAGAGTCAAATTATAGTGCAGGCTAATAGCATCTTTGCTTAGCTCTGTCTATATACCAGCCACATACGTTATTTTGATTAGATTTATGCTACCACCACAATTTGATCTGCATGTAATGGTTTATATAGCAGTTTGGTCTACAACCAATTCATATATACTTTTGATCAGAATATTGTAGAATGACAGGGGCGGATATAATTATATAGGTGTTTTTTTTAAGTGTCGGGGGCAAAATGATTTTATTTTTTTGTAGTGCTTTCACTTTCACTTTTATGAAAGTAGCTCTTGATTTATTGATAGGTCTTAAAGTCCACGGTACCCATCAAGTGAAATATCCCAATCCAGTGGTAAGAGGCAGCTTTGAACCTCAAGCATTATTCTTTAATTGAACTCCCTTATGAAAATTCAGGCTAGTATGAATGTGATCATAATTTATGAGCTTTTCATTGTATACCCCTCTCAACACTAAACCATTCTCTGTCTATCAGTTCGCTCGCTCATATACTCTCCATGAACAACGCTTTCTGTCGACCACATTTTCTCCTTAATTATAAGTTCTCAATAATTTATGACACAAGTCATTCACATCTTAGCAACCACAACATTGACGGATCCAGGCGGGGGGGGGGGGGGGGGGGGGGGGGGGCGTGCCCCGGAAAACCTCGAATGCATCTGACCTGCCAAGTGCATACTAGTACAAAAGCCTTGAATAATAATTTATATCACATCATCCCCCTTTCCACTCATAGCCCCCAAAGGCATCTGAAAACGTGATTTACAAAAAAATGCCCGTCAGAGAATTTATATGTAAAACAATTCCTGAAAATATGATGACCCTTTGTTTTAATTCAATTATATTTTGCTTTGTCACTGATTTTTCCCCACCCCCTCCATCGAGAGAACCTGGATCCGCCACCGCTCACACAGGCACGCACATTACTCATTCGATTGTCTATTTTCGTTCTAATCTTCCTCATTCCTTTTCAACCATGCACTAGCTGCCTCTCCAGCGACTTCTTTCATTCTTGTATCCCTTTTCTTGATCTCCGTATATACTCCGTATATCAGCCATAGTCGAAAGAATTCTACGGTAGGCAGCCAGTGAAGACGAATTCGTTTTATCAAATAATGGAAATGCAAGCATTACTTTACACAAATAGAACTTTGTTATCAAATAGAACTTTGTCATTCCTTGCTCATTTTTCATGATTGAGGTGTCACATGAAAGGGCAGAAACTGAACTTTCTGGAAATGTGATTTTCTCTTTGAAATTCAGATACCTTCCGCCAAATGACTTTTTAGTTTCCTCTCTTCAAATTGATTTCTATCACTCATGCGTGAAATGTGCATCATTATGAGTTGCATCAAATGAAAGAAGAGGATCTAAGCTTTCCAAATATGTGTCATTTGTTAATTATAATTATGACTAAGTTATAATAAAAGATCGATAATTCTCGGTTTCGTTTTTTCTGGGACGCATTGTATAGCATCGTGTATCATTAACCAACTAAACGAGAGAAGGAAAAAAAAAACAGCATGCAGGCATAATGTTCTACACATTGGTTTAAACGGTTGATTATCAACGTGGATATAGTATTGTGTAAAAAATGTTCTCCATAAGAAGGAACATAATTATATAATTATGATACGATATTCCGAATCATACATTGCTTTATAATTCAGAACAATATTCATGCTGAAGCCCGTGTGTTAAACTGTCGGACCATTATCGTAACAGCATACGACCCGACGATGCCGATCGTTGTTGAGTTAGATAATATCTATGATTTCAAATAAGTATGACAAATTACATATAAAAAGCCAGTTTCAGAGTTTTATGAATTAATGAAATGACCGACCTAACTGATATATATGTGACGAGCATATCTACTGTGACATCATTATCATTATTAGTATTATCATTAATGTTATTATCATTTTTATTATTAGTATTATTATTATCATTATTATTATAATTATACTCATATTTATTATCATCATCATCAGCATCATCACAATCATCATCACCATCTCCATCATCATCATCATCATCATCATCATCATCATCATCATCATCTTCATCATCATCATTATCATCATCATCATCATTAATATCATCATCTCGGTTTGTGTTGTTTACTCCTGATCTTGTACGTCAATAAATTAAACGAATCCAGGCACATGACCAACTCCAAGATCACATGACAATACGGAAGTTCAGCTGGAAAAAGAAACATGCGCGAGCAAGCTGATGAGATCAGTGGAGCTGCATGTGCAGCTGCGATGAGCTGGCGAGGCGACGAGTACTAGTGCAGTGTCAACACTCGATCTCCACTGACGTACATCAGCTGTCATTAATTCTGTTCTTGGCATGACTTGAGTTTCACGAGAAAGTATGATGCTGATTTTGATAATCATCTCACTATTCGGTCTGGGACTGGGTCTCACATTTCCAACAAGGAATGGACTGGAGAGAAATGACATTTCACTGTCATCAGTTGCTGATGATGGCGATCCCGTTTTCCATACACAACCAGAGCAGATTCACATTTCTGCTACAGGTTAGTTAGTTAGACATCCCACTTATAAATCAGCTTATGTTGTTGTTTTAGTTTTTATTGGCATGTATCATTATGTTATGATACCGGTAGTCTTGAAAACAGTTACATATGTTGTTCCAATGTGAAATCCTTCTAATATTTGATCGAGGATTACAGGATCAACCTCATCTCATCTCGTAATAAAGTTGTAGATCTGTAGATGTTTGTGATGATTTCTTGAACATAAAGGGTAGAATTAGTTAGATCTACCTGTAGCAATCGATGCAATCCAAAGGCAGCTATAGTCTACATGTAAATATATAATTAGAAAAATCTTTATTTTATTTTATTTGAAGTACTAGATCTTGAGTCCCCAGGTCGAAATTCCATTAGGATCCGATCCTATTGGACCATCAGAAACCATTAGAGCTATTGGTTTCAATAGGGAAAGTGAAATGATGGACCCACAGAAACCATTAGAAAATATCTATTGGACCAACACAAACCCACAGAAAAAATGCTGATGGACCAATAGAAAGCTTCTATTGGACCAGCATCCACCCATGTCTTCTATGGGTTTGTGTTGGTCCATTAGATATGTTCTTCTATGATGGGTTTCTGTTGGTCCATTAGATATTTTCTATAGGTTCCTGTTGGTCCACTAGAGATCTTTCTATGGGTTTCTAATGGTCCCATATTCTGAATTCCCTATTGAAACCAATACTGGCAATAGTCCAATGGCTTCTATTGGTAAATCAATAATGATCAATCCAAATCGATTTTAGCAACTGTCCACCAAAAAAAAGTATATTCTAACCTCAATTGCATTAACTCCATCACACAGATCACTTGAAGTGAGTTTAAGAATATCCTTTATTTTAACAGAATGCTTGTACTATTGTATATAATAAACATACATGAATTGTTTCTTGGTTAGTATTTTATAGTAATCATTATAATCAATATATATCTATTGCTAAAACGTGAATGAAATTGTAACATGATTAAACAAATAATCTATTGGTCATTAGTTGCCAAAAGAAAATAAAAATCACAAAATTGATGTACATTGTCATAAGTTGCTTAACAAATTATGATAAATTTAATTTTCTGTGAACACGTATAAAGTAATCATGAATATGCATGAGATAGATTTAGCTGTTGATTTCTATTGGTTTCTATTGGACCTATTGGTTTCTATTGGTCCTATTGGTCCTATCGGTTCTATTGGTTTCTATGGGTCTTATTGGTTTAAATTGGTCCTATTGGTTTCTATTGGTCCTATTGGTCCTATTGGTCCTATCGGTTCTATTGGTTTCTATTGGTCTTATTGGTTTATATTGGTCCTATTGGTTTCTATTGGTCCTATTGGTCCTATTGGTTTCTATTGGTCTTATTGGTCCTATTGGTTTCTATTGGTTTCTATTTCTATTGGTTTCTATGCTATTGGTTTCTATTGGTTTCTGATGGTTTGAATGGTTTCTATTAATTCTATGGGTCCAACAGAAACCAATAGACTCCAACAGAAACCATTAGAGACCAATAGAATTTTTCTAATGGTCTCTATTGGTCTCTATGGGATTTTCGACCTGGGTCTAGATCTATTTATAATGATAATTAGACCAAAAAATCAGTCTAGCTCGTTTGGGGATATGTTCCACAGAGATTACACCTGACTTCATGGAATCCCAGTATCAAAATACAAAATATGTTTTAGAAACGCTCCTCCAAACAGACAGATTTTACTGCATCGTACAGTATGTGCTCCAAAATCAAAATATAACTTTTTGTTTTGCTTATTAAAGTTATATAATTTCACAAAAAAGCACCCAATTTTTCTTTAAATTTGCATTATGTTATACTTATACGAGTCATTGTACTTTCATGTCTGAATACATGATCACTTTTTCATGAAATTCCTGCTATTAAAACTTAAAAAATACCCTTTCGTGAAATCCACAAATATCCCCCAAAAATGACTCATTTCTTGGAGAAATTGTTAACTATCATAATAATAATAATAATATCAGATAGTTATATGGCGCACATATTCACCATGCAAGGTGCTCAAGGGGCTCCGAATATTGCCCTGCTCTGCTAGGCTGCCGATTTTGGCGCCCACAGCGTCAATATGAAGTGACACCGCCAGGTATATTCCAATCTTTTTGGTGACAGTATCATCAACAGGATGCACTATTGTCTTATTAATTTGATGCACTACCCAGTCATTACTGAGTATTTTTATTATTGTTGTTGTTGTTGTAGTAGTAGTAGTAAAGGCCTTATATAAAATTGAATCAGTTGGAGGTTACGTCTCACTCTCCTTTGGTTCTAGTTTGCCATTATAACTATTTGCTTTTCATTCATTGTTTCATTGCAGGTGATGTATCTGAAATGACAGTAACATGGAGCACCTTAAATCAAACCAGACAGTCAGCAGTGGAATATGGTCTGTCATCTGGCAATTTAAGTTCTGTTGCCATGGGAACATCAACTAAGTTTGTTGATGGAGGACCTAAGAGACACACCCAGTTCATTCATAGAGTCAGATTGATAGGACTCAAGCCAGGAGAACTCTACAGTAAGAACTCAACCACTCAACCTACATGATCGATTGAGACAACTTTGAAGTTTTTTAATTTGATAAAGTTCTAAGTTCTACAGTTCTAAAGTTCTACAAAGACAGCCAACAAGCTAACCCAACATTCAGGCTACATAAATTAATTGTAAAGCTATACAAGACATGTTTAAAAGTTTCTACTTTACAATGAATTTGACTTTTAAAGTCTTGCACAAAATATGTTCAATATAGAATTGATGAAAGACTGACTGCAGGTCATTCTTCAGTAAGGCGTCAAAATAAAAAAGATAATATATTTGACAATACTATCAGGATATTTCTGTTACCCCCTTTACCCTTAATGTTTTCCTCCTTCCCAAGCATACCGATGTGGAGGTGATGAGGGCTGGAGTTCACAGTTCACATTCAAGACTTTCCAAGCTGGTACTAATTGGAGTCCAAGATTTGCTGTCTATGGGGATATGGGCAATGAGAATGCTCAGTCATTAGCAAGACTTCAAATTGAATCTCAAGAAAGAATGTATGATGCCATTCTTCATGTCGGTAAGCATAATCATTTCTTTGTCTCTAAAAATTTGATTTCAGCACATACAAATGAAAGATGCAATTACAGTAGTTACTATGACACACTTATTATACTCAAAACATAATTTATAAACTGATACTATAAAAAACATATATATTCACAACATCATAATAAATAAATGAACTGATGCATCAAAAACCAGAGTCAGCATTATTTTCACAAATTGCACAGGGCTATAAATTACAGAAAAATATAACAAAAACACACATAAAGTGTTTCTCAAGAAATTGAAATTTAAGATGATGATGATGATGACCAATGTTCTGTGGCAAGACATTATTCTTCATTTGCTGCTTCCCACCTATGTGTTTAAAAGTACATACCTAGCTCTAACTGAAATGATACACTGTGTAAAGAGTTTTGACCAGTTCTGCAAAGTCACATAGCAGTGGACCATGTTTCTAATGTTATATCTCTTAATTTTCTTGTTTTACAGGTGACTTTGCCTATGACTTTTCTTTTAATGATGGAGAAACAGGAGATGAATTTATGCGTCAAATTGAATCAGTCGCTGGATATGTGCCTTACATGACATGCCCTGGTAATCATGAATATCACTAGTAAGTAGTCATAGATTCATACAAAGTAGCATTGGTGTACAACCACTGTGGACTGTTGGTGACTTAACTAGTGTTCCTATAAGTATTACAAGAAAGTGGAATTGACTTGTAGATGACTTAGATATGAATAATACTACTAAGCGTCTACATTTACATGCATCTATGTGTGCAAGGAGAATATCATCACCCAAAGGACTGTCTGTAGTGGTGTGGCAGGCTTGTAGGAGGCTCCAATGTATATAAACCTTTCTCTCTCTCAACAGTTCCCTGATCTTTTTTTTTTAAATAAATATATGAGCACATTTAATATTTTCCATAAATTATAAGAATATCTGACATATTCCTGACTGATATAGTTGACTCTCAAGCTTTTTCCAAGAAATGCAGATATTTTTTTTAAATGTAAATTTAATATCATTCATTGCACACACACACACACACACACACAAAAAAAAATTCTTGCAATATTTTACCGGAGCTAGTAAAGCTAAATTATTCCTGTGGGTCTCTTTTGTTGAATGTGTACTTTGTAGAGTTAGAATAGAAACAGTCAAACAAAGTTTCTAATTTTTTATTTTAAAAGATAGTATATTTTGTTAATTATTATATACTGGTATATAGAGAGAGAGAGAGATGTTTCGGATAACTTACAGGCTCAAGTACTTTTCAGGGGGTGCTGTACATCTATATGTGTGAAGGTGAGATTGTTTCCTTACGTGTGCTATTTTCTATGTGTGATTTGTAGATATATGTTGTCTAACATAAATCAAAACTCATTTTTCCTGTCTTCACAGTAATTTCTCCAACTACAAAAATCGCTTCACAATGCCAATGTATGAAGATACTAAGAACCTCTGGTACAGGTATGTATACTCAAATTCTTGTCCTCTTTTGAGGAGTACAATATCCTGAGCTTGAAGAGATATCTTGGCCCATTTTTATCAAAGAGAGACATACATGTAGGGAAAGAAAAGCAGAAGGTTGCACAGTCTGAGGAAATGGGGAAATAGATTCCAACTTAGTAGACCTCACATCCCTCACATCCCTCACATCCCTGTACATATTGGCAGGCTTGTTCATTTCGGGGCTCCGCACTAATTTTTTGCTATTTATTTATCATCATTGTTATTATTTTTCTTTGGGAAGGGGGTTTATATGCCTTGAGCCCTATGTAGAAATTCTGAAACTATGGAGGTCCGCACTTAGGGTGGTATTCTCGAAAGTGGACAAAGTTTAACCTGGCCTAACTTAATCCATGGAGTACTTAGGCCAGGTTTAACTTTAGACCATGTACCAACTCAATTTCATTTCATTTTCCTCGAAATTGGCAGTGAATGGGCCTTTAGTTCTTTCATCTGCGATGTATAACCATCTCCATACTCGAAATTCATATCCAAAACCGACTCCGTCAAAAATCTCTAAAATTCTTGAAAAATTTACCCCTCAAATTCTAAAATTGCCATATCTTTCTCATACCAATTCCGATTAATCTCAATTTCTCACAGTATCTTTATCTTACATATTTTTAGAAAGTGCTTTGAATGAGATTTAGAAATGTCTCTACAATGTGTGTTTGAATAATAAACTTTTACAGTATTGTACATCTGTGAACATTTTTGCTACAGAGATATGATACAATATGAAGAATCTTTGGAATCCTTTCATCTATTCTGATTTCAGCTGGAATGTAGGACCTGCACACATCATTTCTATCTCAACGGAGGTATACTTCTATGTGTACTATGGTCTTCATCTTATCATCGATCAAATCAACTGGCTGAAGGCTGACCTATTTGTAAGATTTCCTGTCAAACTTTTTTCTTCACCTTTATTGGATATTATTCCTTAGCACTTAAATATTATTATCAAGCATCGGAGCGGAGCTCCCTGGAGTTAGCATCACCTGTGCTTGGGAGGGGAAACCAAACTTAATCACTGTGCCCCTAGGGCCTGTCCTCATATTTTACCTGCATTCAATGATTTATTCAATTTTTGTCAAAATTGTCATCGGTGAGTTACAAAGTGACTTTTCTGGGTCTAAATCTAAGATTAAATCAATTTTTTTTTTCAATGGACTTAAATTTGCATGAGCATAAATTAAGTTTTTATGTCAGCAGGACAAATTGTTTTTTCTTCTTGAATACATGGAAGTGTTTTTTATCCTTTGTAACTTCTTGTTTTCTTTCATTTTGAGATGTATCATTATGAGTCATATCTTATCTGTGAATGGATCAATTATAATAGATTTTATCTTCTTACAACAAATCGATTATCAAGCAAACTCAAATAAATTTTAGACATGATTTGTAAATGAATTATACAAAATCAACAAAAAACATAGTGATTTATTATAAATTCAGACATTTCAAACCAAAGATTATGCTAATACGTTTTGCCAGTCTTACAGAATACCATTGTCACCCCCAGAAATATTACAAATGCTGACTACATACTTATCTTGAATTGTGTGGCATTTCTGAGTTGAGCTCTTTCTCCTAAACTTTTGGTAAAGTCATCCCAGGGTATATAACAAAGCCTATTCACAGCTGATACGATGTCAACATATCCCATGATGCATCACATGAAATTGACTACCGGTAAACTAGCTGGCGTCGCTAGAGTGTGCTGAGGATTGTGAATGGGTCTGCATTAGCATGGTTACATGTTTATCATAAGTGTTATGTTTTAAACAATGACATTATTTGTAACAAGAATTCAAAACTTTATGATCTGAGAAATAACAACTTCTGATTTGTTTTTCTTGCCAAAAGGAAGCAAACAAGCCAGAGAATCGGAGCCAACGTCCATGGATTATCACAATGGGTCATCGTCCAGCTTACTGTACCAATAATGATGGTGATGACTGCACCATGAGTGTTAGCATTGTAAGTATCCATATACAAGTTAGAAAAAGTATTATGTTAAAGCAATCCATCGTATCATGAGAGTTCCGAATTGTGAGATTTAAGTCACTGAACTATTTACAATGCATTTCAGCATTTTTAAAACCTTTTTTTTAGTCAGGGCACCCTTTAAAGAAATAAAAAGTTCTGCGTCACCTAAATCCTAAATTCATTTACAGATGATTCATTTTGCATCACTCTGACACTCATCAAGTGCCATATACACTTGAGCACATTTGTTTCTAAATTGCGAGCGAGTAAAGCAAGCAAGCAAAAAATAATGACTCTTTTGATATATTAAAAATGAGAAAAGATATTACTTTATAATCAACACACTAGATATATAGAATAAAGTGCGCTGCCAAATACATGATTACAGAAATCATTATGTGCGGTTAATTTGATGCACGAATATGAGGATAATCATGCCATCTCATTGCCCAGAATTATCCTGTTTGTAGATGTTGCGAGCGTTGTAAAATTTCATTTTTGTATAAAAGATGTAATATATATTAGGGCACCTTTGCTGTCAAATTGAAAGCTATTCGGGCACCTCATTGCTCAAATGTGGAGGTATTCAGACACTTCGCTGCCAGAAATCATCATTCTAAAGGTTGCAGGCAAGCGAGGAAGAAAGACGTTTATCTTTAAAATTACTATTTCCTCATGAGATTACATACTTTAGCGGGTTCTAATAATTTGTTATCACAAAAAACGCTGCTCATTTCCTGAATGGAAGTGAAAGTGTTCTTTATGATATTGTAACCCGTTGTGATTGTGAATGATCATGTGACATACTTTCGGAATCGAATGATGTAAATGCCCATTTACAACTTGCTCCAAAGTCCAAATTAGCCAACCTCTGTAACAATTCAATTGGCCAGAGAAGAAAAAATAAGAAAAATGGGTAGATGAAACCTTTAACAGAGCTGGACAAATAATCTACCGCATATATACCACTCTCCATCCAGGTGTATGTGTAGTAAATGGGTACCACCTGGCAGGATTTTATTTCTCAGTGCTTTGAGCACCTAAGAGCAGCAAGGCTAAGCCAGGGTAATTTGTAGGCACCCTGATGGATATGCAATATTAGTGTAGCTATCATTATTATAATTTACAGCTAGGATCAGATCAGTGAGTAATTGCCATACATGGCATATCAGTGACACTACAAATGTGCCGATTCGAAAGTCCCATACTCTCAAACAAACATAGCCATTGATAACTTTCTGTGTACCGGTACACGATTTCCCTTTGACCATATGTTAGTTAATGATCTGCTCCATTGTCAAATGTGCAGTTGATTGTCTTCCTTCTTTTATATATCTTTTAAATACAGATTCGCAGTGCCTTAGAAGAATTGTTTTATGATAATGGTAAGTACCGGTAATATACTTTGATTCAATTGTGACAATTGCATTATGACTCTACTTGTATAAGATTAGGAAATGATAACCCCAAAATTTCACATAATATGTACAAACATTCATATGAACTTAGTAGACACACTATAAACCTTTTTTTGCTTGTTCTTGACAAAACAAAACACAAAACATCCATGCATGTTTAGCATGATAGACCTAGATATTTTGAAGATGAAAACTTCTATATGATATGCTATATCTTAACTGAGATAAACTGGTTCATTCTTTTTTTTGATACTGTATAGTTTACATTTTTACACTGTTGAAATAACTTAGAATCCTTTGTTTTTTGTTTGTTTGTTATATTTGCTTTACATTATGCTATGAATGCTTTGGGAACTACGCTTGCACAAGGTACAATTAAGGGCTTTATTTATGTAGTTCCCCATTTCTTTTGTATCAAATAAATAAGAATTGAAGAAAACAAAATCATTTTAGTGGGTCATTGCTTGACTTTTAAAATTAGATTATATGCTTTTGTAAACTTTGAAATATGGATTCTTCATTTTGTGCCAGGTGTTGATGTTGAATTCTGGGCCCACGAACACAGCTATGAACGTCTTTGGCCAGTCTACAATCGCAAGGTTTATAATGGGAGTCTATCTGAGCCTTATAACAATCCAAAAGCACCTGTTCATCTCATCACAGGATCTGCTGTAAGTATGCACCGGCATTCTCTGAATAGTATCAGTCTGAATGGATAATGTGTTTTAATTTTACAATAGCAACAGATGATTTTTAACTTGGAATGTTAAAGTTTATATTGTCATGAGGGATTGAGTTGGTTGTATGATACATAAAAACATCCCATGATACAGGGGAACTGGGCTATTTTAATCCTTTAAAAAGCAGGAGGGGGTGGGGGGCTAAAAGGGGCCCTAAGATCCTGGCAACCGAAACTCTGATCAACTACAAATTTGGCATGGGGATAGATGTCCACGAGATCTACAATATTGCATAGATAAAAATTCAGCCCCCCCCCCCCCAGTCTTTTTAGGGTTAAGATGTTCATTGTTTTTATGTCAATAAATTGAGTAATTGTTTATTTATAACACTTCTGATACAGCTTCATTTTTTTCTTTTTCTTTTTTTTAAATGATATTTTATTTGGTACTCAAAACAATTTAACATAATATAATATAATACAGAGTTATGACATGATTAATAAAAACAATATAATAAAATCATTTTTATTGTTTTTACCCATGAAGTGTGTCTATTTTCTTCCATTAGGGCTGTCGGGAAAGACGAGATCCTTTCACACACTCTGAACCCTGGGATGCTTTTCGATCTAATGACTATGGATACCACAGGATGCACATCATCAATAATACACATATCAACTTTGAGCAGGTTTCTGATGATAAGGTATATTTATTCCCTAAATTTTAATAATAATAATAATACAATTTTTATAAAGCGCATTATAAACAGTTTCTCTATGCGCATTACAAGCATGAATGACAAGAACTACAATCACATAAAAGGAGTCAACAAAGAGAAATATACAAATCTTATAACTTCTAAAATGACTAACTTAACATAGTAAATAACATAATAAAAAAATGGCTAATTTAAACATACATCATCAATGCTACCCATACCAATGCGGTGAATCGCTGTTTGGTCTACATCCAGCCCGTCTACTATCCACATGGTCTTATTGTCATTTTGTCTACTTCTCATTGGGTCTTATTGTCATTTAGGCTAGAAACCAATTGGTCAAATTTCCATTTGGTCTTATCTCAAATAAGTTTATTAATCATTTAGTATATTGTTCATTTAGTCTAATTCCCATTTTGTCTACTATCCATAAGGTTTATTAATCATTTGATAATTATTATTATCTATAATTAAATGATTATTAGAACATAAGGATAGTAGACGGCAAAATGGGCATTAAACAAACTGGGAATTAGACTAAATGAGCAATAGACCAAATGGGAAAAGACTTCTTGGAGATTAGACCAATTAGAAATTAGAACAAATTACTATTAGCCTAAATGGTCAATAGACAAAATGATTATTAGACCATGTGGATAGTAGACGGACTGGGTAAAGACCATGCAGGGAATAGACCAATTGGGTAGTAGACGAAACTGCTCGGAAACCAAAGAGCAATAAACTGTCTATGCTTCACATATCAAATTTGAACATATCTCAAATAAAAAGGTAAATTCACTCCTGACACTACTCAAACACTCATTAAAGCTATAATACCAAGGCTAAGGGATTATAAAAGTGTTGTCACTTCGTCCAGTGTAGTGAATTGGTGATCTGATGGAAATATATAACTGAAATGCTCTTGAAGTAGCTACAATCAGACTGATAATTAGTCCAGAATCTGGCCTATTTAATTTTGATCATTTTGATCATTAAATTAGGACGCCCGGCTGGTGAGCATAATTATGAGTTTGTTGATAACGCCATCTTCGACGGCTTGAATCAGGTGTGTAGGGAATTATAAAGGACCGGGCAGATTCTGGACTAACTGATAATTGGTGCCTAGTTGAAAGCAGCAATATACACTGTCGCTCATAAAGGTGGAATATTTTTTTAAATCCCAATTTATGGAATTATTTTAAAAATTATTTAAAAATAATAGATCTAGATAATAGTATACATTCTCAGATTTTTTTGAACAATAATTTCCCAATGTGTGCTTTGCGTGACTGCTAAAGCATATGTATGCTACTATGCTTATCAACTGGGGGACCTATGTCCTTAAGTCATAAATGACAGTAATGAGGATTAATGCCCCACAAAAGGGCAATAATATAGCACATCGACACGGTTTTGATCCATGGGCCTCACAGTTACGAGGCCATTGCTTTGTCACTGAACCATGACTGTACGCAGCGGGGGCTAGGGTAGGGGGCAGTTTCCATAAATAAAAAAACAAACAGAAAATGCAATAAATTTTCAATAATTTATTGCATTTTACCTCGGTTCCCAACATAAACAAATCTTCTGTGTGCCCATGCCTTGAGCCATAATGCATGGCCGTTCAGAGGATTTTTTATGTTGGGGACTGGGGGAAAATGCAATAAATCATTGAAAATTTATTGCATTTTCTGTTTTTTTTTAATTTATGGAAACTGCCCCCTACCCTAGCCCCCGCTGCGTACAGTCATGGTTCAGTGACAAAACAATGGCCTCGTAACTGTGAAGCCCCAGGATCAAAACCGTGTCGATGTGCTATATTAGTGCCCTTTTGTGGGGCATTAATCCTCATTACTGTCATTTATGACTTGAGGGCGTAAGTCCCCTAGTTAATAAGCATAGTAGCATACACATGCTTTATCAGTCCCGCAAAACACACATTAGCAAATTATTATTGAATAAAATCTGAGAATGTATACTATTATCTAGATCTATTATTTTTAAATAATTTTTTTAATAATTCCATAAATTGGGGTAAAACTAAAATATTCCACCTTAATGACCGACAGTGTAAGATCAAAGTCCTTTTCTTGTGAATGATGATTAAAGTAGATTATTCATTTGATGTTTTTCAGGGCGGAGCAGTGATTGACAAGTTCACTCTTATCAAGGAAAAACATGGACCTGAAGCATGGCTTTAATATCTTGTCCAAAGATGGAAGAAATGTGTAAAGAAATCACCATGCACTCTCAGAAGAGAGCTTTAATATCTTGTCCAAAGATGGAAGAAATGTGTAAAGAAATCACCATGCACTCTCATAAGTGAGCTTTAATATCTTGTCCAAAGATGGAAGAAATGTGCAAAGAAATCACCATGCACTCTCATAAGTGAGCTTTAATATCTTGTCCAAAGATGGAAGAAATGTGTAAAGAAATCACCATACACTCTCATAAGTCAGCTTCAAGGAGGGTATTATTAGTAAATCATACAATAACGGAGATGGAAACATAGTGATGTTTTTACATCTTTTGGTACATTATTTTCGTATTTGTATCTACCGTTTTGAAGCAGCAAATACTGTTTCATAAGTTATTTTCACAAAAGGTTTGAGTAAACACATAACAAATGAGATTATTTGTATATAAAGGAGATGATGATGTTGGTGATGAACAACCTAATGGGAAGTGGTGTAATTTACTATTAGGATATACCTGTATGTATATATTTTAGCATGGTAAACCTAGATAGAATGTGCAATACAATTATGCTGCAATGTAATATTCAATATTCAATTCCAGCACCTTTCAACGTTAGGATAGTATAAAAGGAAATTTGTTTGTATCAGATGTGATGTTTATAATTATGTAGATATCAAGTGTTGAAGATAATTTCTGTGTAGTTTAACCTAGGAAGTGTGATTTTCTTAAAGATAACACCTGAAAAACAATTTGACCGGTTTTACCGATACCTGCATCTTAATTTTTTTGGGGGAAACATATTTGACCTTGGGTTTTGTACACCATTGACTCACAATGTCTGATTTATGACAGTCAAATATAATCAGTTTATCTTCTAATGATGCATACTGATACCAAGTTTGAAAATGACTTTGCTTGATAGTACTTGGGAGGTGAATGAAAAAGCTTACAGCATATTGAATGGTGTAATCATATACATGTATCTCATCTTTACATGATGTAGTCAAATGCCAAAACAATCAAAAGGAAAAATACTGATTTACAAATATAGGACTATTTAGGTATATAAATGACAAATATGGATGGAAACAAAACACAAAGGCTCATATGCATTTTCTTTATCTATATGTTATAAGATACAGACATTTCATTCCAGCATAAGTCATTTATATTTGCCACTGTGTAATATTATTTTTGTTGTTGTTGATTTATTACTTTGTTAGTGGCAGTTTACCTCATCATGTGCGACCAAGGCTTATGGCTCAATGTAAATGCAGTTTGTAAGGGCCTTGATTTTTTTATTTTTTCATTTTCTGGTGTTGATTCAAAATGTTAATGTGCCACTATTATTATGGGGGGGGGGGGGTACTGAGATTTGGTTTCGACAGGGGTGTGCTGCTCAAGCCTCACAACCCCTACCCAATTTTTAAGGGTCATTTTGGGGGATTTTTCTCGAAGTAAGGCCCATTTTTCACAATTTTCGGTTGTTTGCAATGCCAACACCCCAACAAAATATTTTTTTAATGATATTTTTGATAAAAATGTGACCCATATGTTTAGGGTTTTTTTGTTAAAAAGTGCACACCCCTGTTTGTCTTAATATGTGAGTATCCCCCCTCCCCAGGTTATTGACAAACAAACAAGATATTTCTAATTACATATTGCTCCACCAAGGAAATTATATATGGTGGTCAATTTATATAAAAAATAGCATGGAAAAAGTTTCTTGAATGTTTATCATTCATTGTACATGTATGTTACCACTAAATCCCTTGAGTTTCCATGCATGAAATTGCATACAGTATGAGTGTTTGGTATAATTGGAAAGGATAATGATTCTACAACTTTGATATGAATAATTCAGCATTGCCTGTATTTTGGTTATATCTCAAGACAATCAAATCAGCTTGGCACATCAGAAGTTAAAATGTATTTTTATTTACCGGCAGGGTATTGATGATAGAGTGGGTTTAATCTGTTTGTACCGGCCATGGTGATACAATACTTCAAAATCAAGTTCTTTTTTTTTCTTATGCTTGCTCTCTTTGCTTTTCCCCTATTGCTTTGTGTAACGTATTGCTCTATCCCCATTTGCCTCTCATTGCTTGTAAACATGTTTATTTGGTATGCCTTTTGTTGAAATAAAACTGGTATGCAGTATGAACCATAAAAATGTATATAACCCAAACCTATATGAGTGAAAGGGCTTCTCAAAAATTATATCCTCCTCTCCTCTTTGCCTATCACTTTCTTCCTTTCTTCCTTTCTTCTTTTTATAATGTATGTTATGTATTTGTGTATTCGGGCGTACCCATTACAAGCTCCGCTTATCGGGTTTCACGCCTTCTTCCTTGTAATACAAGTTCTTTAATTATATTTATGTTCCTACATATAAATTGTATTGTTTGAACAGATGTCAAATATGTTTGTCAAATTGAATGGAAGAAAATAAATGTTCATTTGAATTGAATTGAATTGAATATTCCTTGCTAAATTGATTTTAAAAACGCCATACCAAATATAAGTAGTAATTTGTTTCAAACGTTTAAAAGCTGGTAACTTCAGTCATATATAGTTGATCATATCAAGCGTGATGATTGTATGTAATTCCATTCATATTTGACACTTTTTAAAATGAATTAAAATGCATTGACACAACCGACTTCCATAGCTTTTCACATGCCAATATTCACTATTCACTCATCACATTGATTATCTCTCAGTAGACAAGTTTCAAGTTTTATTATTACTGTAGTGATGTATACATTATACATAAAAGTAATGGGTACAAATTTGTGGATTGATGAAGACTAATAAATTTAAGCATGATGCACTTTTAACTATTTTATTTCTTTATCCTGACATGTATATGATGTGACATATATGGTGGAGGCATTTGGCATATTATGAGCTAGGGACCTTGATTGATTCCAAGCAGAGACATTTTCCTCAACCTTTATAAAAAATGACAGAGGGAGGACAGTTATAATGCCAAAAGGGGAAATTTGATCTAAAGGGCAAGTCTGATGCATTTTGCAAGTTGAATAAAAATTTGATAATGAAGAAAAATTTAACAAAACTGAAATTTTCATCAAAATTGGACGAGAAATGAGAAATTTATGGAATTTTCAAGTTTCGTCGCACACACACGGCAACCTCTTTAAGAGACAAAATGTAGATTACATTATTTTTATGAAGAGGAAAAACTGACATGGATTGTAAACTACTATCATGCTATGTATATTGTGTATGCTTGATCAGTGATTTATAAAAAATAACTTACAACTTCAGTGTGTAAAGTTCATGAATTTTAGATGTTGTAGACGCTACATATAAAATATTTCTTCTTCTTCTTCTTCTTCTTCTTCCTCGTTACATGCTACTTCATACAACGAAGATTACGCACTGCAGTGTGGTGTGTGCCATGTCCAATATGTGTGTACCGGGTAGGCATCAATCCAGGTGCAAAACAACAGTAAACAAATTTATTATCACAATAATTTTGTAGACTCCTGGATGTCGGGGGGGGGGGGGCATCCCTATATTAGCATCTTTCACAAAAATAGGCCTACTTGAATATAATACCTGAGCTCGAATTAAGGATAGCGAAAATAATTGTTTATAATTGGCATTGGGACAGTGCATGCCCATTAAGCCTACATTCAGGTCTGTATCAAATGTAAATTGTGTTTTAGTTGCATACAACAAATCCAAAAGACCATGCAGCGAACAAAAGCATTTGGCAACAAGTAAAATTGTTTTTGAAAGACCAACAGGTTGCAATCACAATATGGCTCAGCCAAAAGACATTTTCAAAGTGAAAATTTGTCAAATCTATTGGTATAAAGAATATATATATATTGGTAAATAATTATTGATGAAATAAGTGTGATGTCTACTAGCAATCCATAATTACATAATTACAAACCTTTAGGTCAGTCAGGAATCCCATGAATTTTACAAGCCGATCACCTGTCTGATATGATTGGAAATAGAAATACTTTCGTTTTCTTAACGGTTTGTATACTGGTAACACTATAGTCTATTGTAAATATGTAATAAGCATGATAAGGTATGTTTTATAATGTACTACTAGCTAGCAATCTGTGAACTTTAAAGTGACTCGGTAACATCTCAGAGGGCCATGTATCTCAGATTTAACATTGTATAAACGCATATATGCCCCCCCCCCCCCACCATGTCCATTTTCTAAAAAGCATTGATCTACTTCTGATGTAAGCTCTAGATCCCTTTCCTTTCTAATAACTGCCACTTTTCTCCCAAGTCTGATATGCATACTGGCATAAACCACCTTTCTACCGTAGTGAGTGCTCTTACTTTTTTTCTGATGATCAAAAAGGAGGCAGTCCATATGTACGGAGCCCCGGAAGTGACATGGAGAAAAAAATTTTTTCTCGTTTTCCTGAGATAAATTCTCGTTTTCCTGAGATAATTTTTCGTTTTCCTGAGATAATTCCCGTTTTCCTGAGATAAATTCTCGTTTTCCTGAGAAAATTTTTCGTTTTCCTGAGATAAATTCTCGTTTTCCTGAGATAATATTTCGTTTTCCTGAGATAATTCCCATTTTCCTGAGATAAATTCTCGTTTTCCTGAGATAAATTCTTGTTTTCCTGAGATAATTTTTCGTTTTCCTGAGATAAATTCTCGTTTTCCTGAGATAATATTTCGTTTTCCTGAGATAATTCCCGTTTTCCTGAGATAAATTCTCGTTTTCCTGAGATAATTTTTCGTTTTCCTGAGATAAATTCTCGTTTTCCTGAGATAATATTTCGTTTTCCTGAGATAATTCCCGTTTTCCTGAGATAAATTCTCGTTTTCCTGAGATAATATTTCGTTTTCCTGAGATAAATTCTCGTTTTCCTGAGATAAATTCTCGTTTTCCTGAGATAATTTTTCGTTTTCCTGAGATAAATTCTCGTTTTCCTGAGATAATATTTCGTTTTCCTGAGATAATTCCCGTTTTCCTGAGATAAATTCTCGTTTTCCTGAGATAAATTCTCGTTTTCCTGAGATAATTTTTCGTTTTCCTGAGATAAATTCTCGTTTTCCTGAGATAATATTTCGTTTTCCTGAGATAACTCCCGTTTTCCTGAGATAAATTCTCGTTTTCCTGAGATAATTTTTCGTTTTCCTGAGATAAATTCTCGTTTTCCTGAGATAATATTTCGTTTTCCTGAGATAATTCCCGTTTTCCTGAGATAAATTCTCGTTTTCCTGAGATAATATTTCGTTTTCCTGAGATAAATTCTCGTTTTCCTGAGATAAATTCTCGTTTTCCTGAGATAATTTTTCGTTTTCCTGAGATAATTCCCGTTTTCCTGAGATAAATTCTCGTTTTCCTGAGATAAATTCTCGTTTTCCTGAGATAATTTTTCGTTTTCCTGAGATAAATTCTCGTTTTCCTGAGATAATATTTCGTTTTCCTGAGATAACTCCCGTTTTCCTGAGATAAATTCTCGTTTTCCTGAGATAATTTTTCGTTTTCCTGAGATAAATTCTCGTTTTCCTGAGATAATATTTCGTTTTCCTGAGATAATTCCCGTTTTCCTGAGATAAATTCTCGTTTTCCTGAGATAATATTTCGTTTTCCTGAGATAAATTCTCGTTTTCCTGAGATAATATTTCGTTTTCCTGAGATAAATTCTCGTTTTCCTGAGATAATATTTCGTTTTCCTGAGATAAATTCTCTTTTTTCCTGAGATAATATTTCGTTTTCCTGAGATAAATTCTCGTTTTCCTGAGATAATATTTCGTTTTCCTGAGATAATTTCCGTTGTAAAATGAACAGTTAAAATGAATTGAAAAAATACAATTTTCTTCTAATTTTATAACGTTTTGGCATCTGAATGCCCCCCCCCCCCCCCTGAGTACGATGTCATATATATTTACTGTAAATTGCGAGCGAGCGAAGAGCGCAATTAACAAATAAAAGACACTAGTCTTACTCGTACAAATTTAGGTACAATACCAATTTGGATGATAAATCTATCTTGATTCAAGAACACTTTATTAACAGACTGCCCGATTACAATAGGGGACAGCCCACGAGGCCGACGGCCGTCAGCCTAGGGCCTAAATCCAGTTTTAGGGGGGTATTCAGCAGGCGCGGATCCAGGATTTCTTAGGGGGGGGGGGGCCAAATTTGAAATTTTGCGAGCCAAATATTGGTACGTAATGGTGACGAACAGTGACGTAATGCAGGGGGGGGGTCGGTGCAGGGAGGGGCGAGTTTCCCCCTCCCTCCGCAAAACGCGGAAGCTTTGACGTTTCATTAAATTATTAGAGAAAGAAGACGATTCGTTGTCGAGTTCTCGACTCTTTATCCTCGTCTGAATTTAGGTTCCCCCCTCCCGTGCGAAGCGCGGAAGCTTTTACGATTTATTAAATTATTAGAGAAAGGAGACGATTCCTTGTCGAGTTCTCGACTCTTAATCCTCGTCTGAATTTAGGTTCCCCCCTCCCGTGCGAAGCGCGGAAGCTTTTAAATTTCCTTAAATCATTAGAGAAAGAAGACGATTCGTTGTACCGTTTTCGAAAATAATCCTCGTCTGAATTTAGATTCTCCCCCAACCCCCTCCTCCCGCGCGAAGCGCGGACGCTTTTACGTTTCATTAAATCATTAGAGAAAATAGACGATTCGTTGTACCGTTCTCGAAAATAATCCTCATCGGAATTTAGTTCCCCCTCCATCCCGCGCGAAGCGCGGAAGCTTTTACCTTTCATTAAATCATTAAAGATTCGTATTACCGTTCTCGCCTCTGAATCCTCGTCTGAATTCAGGTTCCCCCCTCCCGCGCAAAGCGCGGAAGCTTTGACGTTTCATAAGATTATGAGAGAAAGAAGACGATTCGTTGTACCGTTCTCGATTCTTAATCCTTGTCTGAATTCAGTCCCCCCCCTCCTCTCCTGCGCGAAGCTTTGACGTTTCATTATATTATTAGAGGAAGAAGACGATGCGTTGTATCGTTCTCTATACTCTTAATCCTTGTCTGAATCAGGGGCCGTCTTAGGGCCCCTGGGGGGGGGGGTCGAGGCGGCGGAGCCGGCCCCGGAAGCTCAGGGGTTTTAGGCGTTTAATTAAGGTCAGATGAGCATTTTTTTGTATACCTTATTATTTTGTGAGACTGGCACGTCACTATTTGGCGTGGGGTCCAGGGGGCGGAGCCCCAAAATATCAGGGGTTTTAGGCATTAAATTACCGTCAGATGAGCATCTAAGGGCCCGCCGTAGGGCCCTAGGTGAAATCCAGGGGGCAGAGCCCCTGGAAGCTTAGGGGTTTTAGGCATTAATCACGGTCAGATGAGCATATTTTGATGCCTCATTATTTTTCAACACTAGCAGTTAACTATTCTTTCTTTCTTGCTCTCATTCTATTTTATTTCTCTTTAATATACTTTTTCAAAAAAGTAGGGGGGGGGGCTCGGGGCTCCCGATCCCCGCCGTACCTCGGGCCCTGACAAGTAGGAATCAACTAAAAAGTGAGGAAAAATCTCGGAAATTATGTCATTTCAGCATTATTAAAGTAATCCACCGTTGTGGAATTAGAAATAAACCACGTTTGAATTTGATTTCCCCCAAGCCCCCCCTATCAGTACGCCAGTATCTCCTCTTTTCCTTTTTTTCTTTCCCTTTCCTTCCTTCTCTCTTATTTTTTTGATTGGGGGGGGGGGTCAACAGCCTGGGAGGCAAGGCCCTTTCGCCTTCCCCAATCTCCTTCTTCCCCCTTTTCTTTTCTTCTTCCTCTTCTTTCTTTCCCTTTTTCTCTTCTTTCTCTTTCCCTTCTTTTCCTTTCTTCTCTCTTTTTTTTTTTTTTTTTTTTGCGGGGGGGGGGGGGGGGCCAAGACCCGCTCGGCCCCCCCCCCCCTGGATCCGCGCCTGGTATTCAGTTATTCACATCACCTTGTAGGTCTCAATTATTGTCGAAATTCGATATATTTATGAAGATAATTATCAATTCCAAAAGGGCCTTAAAGGGGAAGGCCACCCTAAGAATATCTATATTTTAATAAAAGGAGACAAATAAGACAAAGTGATTAATAAAAGTTTGAGGAAAATCGGATATGAAATAAGAAAGCTATGAAATGTTCAAGTTTTAAACAAATTAAAATCGATCAAGAAAATCGGGAAATCTGTGATCATATAACAAACGATGTCTGGGGTTCGAAAGTTATGCAACATGTATTGGTCGGGAATTATCTCAGGAAAACGAGATATTATCTCAGGAAAACGAAATATTATCTCAGGAAAACGAGAATTTATCTCAGGAAAACGAAATATTATCTCAGGAAAACGAGAATTTATCTCAGGAAAACGAAATATTATCTCAGGAAAACGAGAATTTATCTCAGGAAAACGGGAATTATCTCAGGAAAACGAAATATTATCTCAGGAAAACGAGAATTTATCTCAGGAAAACGAAAAATTATCTCAGGAAAACGAGAATTTATCTCAGGAAAACGGGAATTATCTCAGGAAAACGAAATATTATCTCAGGAAAACGAGAATTTATCTCAGGAAAACGAAAAATTATCTCAGGAAAACGAGAATTTATCTCAGGAAAACGAGAATTTATCTCAGGAAAACGGGAGTTATCTCAGGAAAACGAAAAATTATCTCAGGAAAACGAGAATTTATCTCAGGAAAACGAAAAATTATCTCAGGAAAACGAGAATTTATCTCAGGAAAACGGGAGTTATCTCAGGAAAACGAAAAATTATCTCAGGAAAACGAGAATTTATCTCAGGAAAACGAGAATTTATCTCAGGAAAACGGGAGTTATCTCAGGAAAACGAAAAATTATCTCAGGAAAACGAGAATTTATCTCAGGAAAACGAAAAATTATCTCAGGAAAACGAAAAATTATCTCAGGAAAACGAGAATTTATCTCAGGAAAACGGGAGTTATCTCAGGAAAACGAAAAATTATCTCAGGAAAACGAGAATTTATCTCAGGAAAACGGGAGTTATCTCAGGAAAACGAAAAATTATCTCAGGAAAACGAGAATTTATCTCAGGAAAACGAAAAATTATCTCAGGAAAACGAGAATTTATCTCAGGAAAACGGGAGTTATCTCAGGAAAACGAAAAATTATCTCAGGAAAACGAGAATTTATCTCAGGAAAACGAGAATTTATCTCAGGAAAACGGGAGTTATCTCAGGAAAACGAAAAATTATCTCAGGAAAACGAGAATTTATCTCAGGAAAACGAAAAATTATCTCAGGAAAACGAGAATTTATCTCAGGAAAACGAAAAATTATCTCAGGAAAACGAGAATTTATCTCAGGAAAACGAGAAAAAAAAAAATTCTCCATGTCACTTCCGGGGCTCCGTAATATGCGATTATTTTAAGGTCTTTAAAAAAAAATATATAGCCTTTAATTGTTCATCATTTCCACATTCTTAAATTTCATTTAAGTCACACCTTACATAATTTTTAAATAAACTTATGTTTGCCACCTGGGAAGGGGGGGGGGGGGTACTCAGATTTGGTTTGGACGGAGGTGTGCCGCTCAAGCCTTGAAACCCCTTCCCATTATGAGGGGTCAATTTCCAAAATTGAGCTTGGATGATCCACTGACCGCCTCTGTCTGTCTATGGCCTGGTAAGGTTGACAGTTTTGCAAATTTTGAAAAAAACAGACCCACTTTTATTTTTTTTGGTTTAAAATGGGACCCATGTTTAGGGATTTTTGTTGAAAAAGTGACCCATTAAAGCGGCACACCCTCGTATGTCCTAATAGGTGAGTACCCCCCCCCCCCCCCCCCCCCCCCCCTCCGGTCATGTCACTGGTAACCGTACTACGGAAGTAAGTCGAAGTAAATTGTCTTTGTACTATAAAGCTAGCTGCATACACTAGTACTAGAAGTGAGCTGAGCTGCACTGCACTGGCCTAGCGCGCCTGGGCATGGCAGTGGCACATCTCGCACTGTGAACTGAGTCTGGCTCTAGATCCACTGACCGCCTCTGTCTGTCTATGGCCTGGTAAGGTTGACAAATTACAGTTTTATTACAGAATTCCCCATACCAAACTAGCTAGCCCTCTCCAAAATAAGCTGCTATTGGGAGCACATAATAATATGCACACCCTATCATCCAAGCTCAACTTCAAGTGCTAGCTGTTCAGCTCAACCTCAACTTCAAGCTCATCTTCTTCAAACTCAAGTCAAAGTTCATCCCCAGTCTTTGAAATCACGCATCGTTTTTTAGGTAAGAATGCCGTGATTTACTTGACTTCTATAATGCCCGGATTACATTTGGCCTGCGATTAGTCTGAGCTAGTATCCCCTTTTCAGTGCGGCCTCCGTACACAGGTACAGAGGCAGGAGGAGGAGACTTTTGTAAATCGTACGGATTCATGGACTCCGCGGTGCTCGATCCGAGGCCTCTATGCTTTACGATTATGTTTCGCAGAAAGTTATACAAATTTGAAAAATCGTAACCCCGTCATAGATGTCATTACACAATCCCTGCACGGGCATGGTGCGGAGGACTCGCGCTGATCGTGCAGCAAATGCAAGATTTTTTGGTGAACATAGGTCTAGCCTTGAGGCAAACAATACGCTTAAAAACGGCACGTCGGCTGCACGTTCACCACGCCTTCTCTGCGCAGCCTGTGCACGGAACGATTTCCGTTCGGAGGCTGCGGAGATTGCACGGCTACTGCATTGACATTGCACGATTTCCGTACAATCTCAGAGCAGCCTCTCTACGGATTTGCCTATATCTCATGATCTAGATCTTACCCCTGAGGGTCAATACAAGAGATGGCACGATGCTCGTAGATAATGTAAACACAAACATCGTAGCCCCGTAGCCTCCTAGTACGATGCCCCCAAAATTGCATGAAAAACCAGAGACTAATTTATCGTACGGTGCCCAGTGCAAATGTAATCCAGGCATAAGTAATAGATAGTACTTAGTAGCGGGTCTTATCTTGTGAGTTGTGGTTTACTCCAGAGCATCATCATGTATTATATACCTCACTTAAGAAATCTAGCCTTCTGATTAGTCGAAATTGCAGTCCGTAAAACCATTTAATAGTCCCAAGAGTAAAATTCCAGTTACCGGGAAAATAATAAAATCTTGCTGACGTGTTAAAATGTTCTTTGAGCGAGCGCAGACACCAAGATTGCTTTTTGTCAGCGATTCCCAACTGATCAAAAATTTCATTCATTTTTCCGAACGTGATAACCAGACAGTTTCTCAGATTTTCTGTGATGTTTTAACCAATCTTTACTTGTTAAAAGGATAAGGTAAGAATTCTTGGTAGATTTTTGTTTGAATTCGGCATATAAAAGGGATATCGACTGCTTTAATACTTGAGGACTGGCTGTTTCTATACTGGCTCTCGGGAAATTTGCCACTGCTGCTATCACCCTGAGGCGCGCTCGGGTGAATTCAGTTCCACTTTAAAAAAAATATGGTGACCGTTAATTAATGATAACAATACATGGGCCAGCTGGTTGTGCGTACCAGCACGAAAGAGCCAACATCGGCATTGGCTAGAATATAACGTAAAAGGGGCTTTTTAGTTTATTCAACGGCTGGTTCAAATTATCGAATATTTGTGGTGGTACACAAATATCAGAAATCATTATATTTATGGATATTTCAGCTGTCTCTGAACCGATTTTGATCAAAGAAAGGTGATTTTGTCATTTAAATTGTATGTTCTTTCAAATTTGACTCTCAGTTTATCATTATCTCACAAAAAAAATATTTTGTGTAGCGCTCTCTGCAACAGATCTTAAATATCCCTTAAACAGACTATTGATACAGCCAGCTAGTCGTAAGGCTTAATAAAAAAAATTATGTTGCTCTTTGCAAACGACCCCAACATCTTTAAATCTATGGGCAGCTTTTTGTAAAATTTTATTTTTTTACCGTTTTTTAGAAGAAAAAATGTTTAATGAATTAAAAAATAATGTACCCTGTATAACTATTTGGCCTAAAGCATACAAAACTGAAAAAGGTTGGTTAAAAAGGGGAAAAAAGCATAAAAAGGAAGAAAAGAGAATAGACTGTGACCCCCCCCCCCCCCCCCCAGGTGCTGGCATCTAAACTTGTAAAGTAGTATACACAGCAGTGAGGGCATTAAGAATTACCCACACCTTTGGAACATTTTTGTTTCAAGGACAAACACAATTTTAGAAAAAAAAGTGAGAAAAAAAATTACCGGTAGAGATAATTCAAGAAAAAATATCTTTAAAAAAAAACGCCTTTAGGGGGAGAAAAAAAAAGAAAAAAAATGTGGAAAAAATAATCTCAAAAGAAAAAAAAAGTTGAAGAAAAAGTCAACCCTTGGTATTGGTGTAATTTGTGTAATTGGTGACATACAGTCCTCAAGAGGGCAACATGCATTGATTAAAAATATATTCATTTCACCAGCTGGTGAATATACATGTAACCATCGAAAGTGACCGGCCAGTAAAATATAACTGTTATAATTGATATCATGTGACAAGCTCTGGACCAATCACATCTCGGTATCAGATAAGCTATCTAATATTTAAGTTATATTGACTGCCTTCATTCAGGGCAATATGACATATATTGCCCGAAGGTGAGGGCGATTATAACAATCCGTATTGCCCTGAATTAGGCAGTCAATATTACTATTATTATCCACATCAGATATCTAGAGCAAACAAGAAAATTTCAATATCTTATACTCTTATATTGTGAAAAAATACAGTAGCCTACAGTAGGTACACTGCACAGGTTTTCCTATCATTAAAAGTGACAAAAACATTGTTAAAACCTGCATTCAATTTTGTCTCTCAATCAGAAATTGAGTGGATGCTTATAATTAGGATTTAAACAAAAACTATGTTTTACCCTCTTTTGTTAATTGATGTTAAGATGCAGCTCTAATGGAAGAGGAAATAAGGTCCTTTTGTGTCTATAATTAGTTATTACCTGTACAAGGGAAGCTGGCAACTTACCCAATGCTCAAAAGAGAGCTTTTTATTACCATACCCGTCACTGGAGGTTAGCCAAGCGATGCTTTGTCTGGAATTATCATCATACATGTAGCTTTCCATCCATCATTTATGATCTAAATTAGCAACATATGAGCAACTGAGTGATAGCTAAGCTCTGCACCATTTCCATAGATATTGTATCTCCTGCTGGTTTTAATCTCAAGTCAGCTCCATGTACACTGTATGATGCGAAATACTTTTCGACAGCTTATTACAATGGTATGTACCAGTACATGCATGTATATTGTTATTGACATCATTTGTGTGTATTTGAGGAATCTGCTTGCAGAGCTACATGTAGTTTACAATTAAGCTTAATACTTGTATTTCCTGAATGAGATCATATCTATATTTGTCAATGTTGATTGTGGCGTGTGGATGCAGCAGTGTTGGCTCCACCTATATACACGTATGTACCAGCCCTTTGTGTGAGCAAAGCAGTGAGTGAGATCAGACTGGTCTATTGTTGACAATGTCGAGAGAGAGAAAGAGAGAGAAAGAAGATCAATACAGTCGGGAGTATGCATTCACAGTTCAATAACAATTCATCACTCCATATCTCAACGTCATTGTGTCTAGACCCATAGCCAGCATGTTTGGTGTGGTATGTATTATTGTCCTAGAGTACATTGAGGCTTTATTTATTTGTATTCTATATTGTTTATCAGTATCTTTGGTTTATCCCCCATTCACTGTAGTAATGACAACATTCTCTTTGTTTACATTTCATGATATGGGAAAGGTTACAGTGTAGTATTTTTGTAGGATTATATTTCAGAAATGTCTATATTTGTACTCTTGAATATTACATGTCGTACTTGATAATAACACCTACTGTATATGTGGGCATTTTAGGTATGTAAAATTGTAGATCAAGGCAATCGTGCTGTAGTATTTTTGTCCAACTGGGCAAACATGTATACAATTTATTTGTAATATATATTCATTTTTATTTTTGTTTGGGGGGTGGGGGGGGGGGGGGGGGGGGAGGTTACATGGCACTAATAAATTACAAACTACTGCTATACATGGAAAAGTTATAACAATTAATGCATTCGTAAAATGGAAATTACATGTATCTTGTTGGTCCTTGACTGCATTGTAGTATTTGATTTTTTGTTTGTTTATGTGACAGGGAAAAGTTTTATGATTTTGTCTTCTTCCTAGCTGAAGTATACATAGAAACAGTCAATTTATAAAAGTTGTATATTACAGTTTGATGGTATGGTACATTTCTCCAGTATTTGGTTTAAGCCCACTCCAGCTCCACCCCCCCCCCCAAAAAAAAAGTTTTTCTATCTTATTGATACAGACAAATCAGACTAATGTAAAGAATTAGAAAGTTATCAAAACAGTGGTACTTGTAAATAATGAAGTGATGATGGACTTGCCTATTTATCTTTATTAGTTATTGGTCTTTGTGTTGTTGGCAAATTATCAGGGAAAAAATATTTATTCGGGGGCTACTTTTCAAACTTTCCTGCATGAAATTAACACTCTAAAATTTGTTTTGCATTAAACTCTATGCAGATATGTATACAGGGGCTCTTTTCTGATTTTCGGGGGCTATTTCGCCCCGAGCCCCCGTGTATTTTTTTCACTGCAAATTATCCGTTGTCTGTTTTTCCTCAATGCTTATTTGATCAGTTTCTCTTACTTTTGAAAAGCAACATAATATGGTGCTTGAGTCCTTGATTATAATGATATAAAAGTAAAGGGAAAAAACAAGACTTTTTATCGTAGATGCTCTCAATGTGTTTTCTACTACATGGTTTGTTAATATTTAAAAAAAAACTGTTTAAAATAAAGTGTTCATAATGGACAAAGTTTGCAGGATTTTTAGCCCAATGGAAAGACCAAAAGTGTGCAAGAATTAAAAAATAATAGGTGTGCTGTACAGTATTGGTCTTACTGTTCACATGATGAATATCAAATTGATGTGTAAAGTTCGTAATCAGAAGAAAAAAAGAGTTTGCTTGATCTGTGATTCTAGACTCTCCTTTAGTTTGGATAGCCATTCTTATTTGGTCAAATATTTGGTCATTGTGCAGTTTATTTGAAAGCTCCTGCAAACAGGATTGATGTATCATAGAGTGTACAATACATGTACATACGTGTAGATTAAACTATCAGGGCCCTGTTTGTACATACCCTTGGAGTCTTGGGGTGCATTTATCAACTCTTTTCTAGCCTAGTACTTGATTCAGGCAAATTTGCAAGTTGATGAATGCAAGCACGTTTTCATTTGTCTTTATGCGTTTTGATACCCTTATGAGCCAGAATAACGTTTCTCAAGAGATGATAAACGCAAAGCTGTTTTGAAATGCATATATATTTGGGACCTTCCCAGATTAATTTTCTGATTCTGAGAAATAGCGCGCACCATGAGCTGTGTCATGTTGTACAATCATGCATACATACTCATTCATTGTTTATGCGAGGATGCACGTGTTACGGGCCCAGCCGGGCGGCTAGCTATAGCTAGCTACTTATGAACATCATATGGCGGGGCGATCAAAAATATAAAAAAACTGCTGACATGTACAGTACAGTGCAACTTATCAATGTAATTCACTTTATCATTTTGATATATTGTCACCTTTCATATGTATTTTACAATTTATCATTTTGATATATTGTCACCTTTCATATGTATTTTACAATTTATCATTTTGATATATTGTCACCTTTCATATGTATTTTACAATTTATCATTTTGATATATTGTCACCTTTCATATGTATTTTACAATTGATATTGTGCTTCTGTTTTGCATAATGAGGAATGTTTTGTTTCCAAAGGAAAGCTTTATACTGGTATGAAAGTGTGATCTTGATTTGTATTGATTATGTACTTTAATTTTAACTTCTTATTAATTTTTGAGTTTGTTTTAAGTGATCCTCCCTGGACTATTACTTTAGACTTTTAATAAACCACATTGAATTGAAGAAAAAAATTAAAGAGACTGGAAGATAAGACTGATTGTTGCCAAGTTGAGGAGAAAAAATTATTTATTAAGAAAATAAAAAAACTGTGAGAAAGCTATTGGGTAAACATGTGACTGATTTTTTTTGTCCTCAATTGTTTTGTTTAGTCTGAGCAGCGCATTCCTCATCTGGGTCACAGGATGATGCCTGCAGCTGGTGTACCTGGAGCACAAGGAGGAGGTAATGTAGGACAAGGAGGAGCAGGAGGGGGAGCTTTGGCTCCAGGACAACCTGGAGGGGCAGCAGGAGGAGGAGGTGGTGGTGCAGCAAACCAAGGTCTAGCCAACGATCCACTTCAGGCCTTTTACTTTTCTGTGATTAATCAACCACAACCACCTATCACAATCTCTGCTAACCCAGAAGATGAAGATAAAGATGACAAGATGCCACCGGGAGGAGTTGATTGCTATGGTAACGAAAGGAAAGCTCTTTCAGACATGACACGGTTCTATAATAATCCTCAGCTGAGTGATATTAAACTGAAGGTTGGCTTTGAAGAGTTCAATGGTCACAAGCTGGTGTTGGTCAGATGGAGTGAGGTCTTTGAGAGAATGTTCAGTGCAGATTGGTCAGATCAAAAAAAAAAAGTGAGTATCAAACAATTTAATTTTATCCTGCTTATTAACTCTCATATGTATCTACAATATTACTAACAACAGTATAAATCATAATCCTAATGCATGATTTACTTTAAACAAAACATGTTTAATGTTGACCTTGTCACCCTGTACAGTACATACATGTAGTGTACTTCTCAACCTGTCTTGTATGTTTCTTTTTCTGCCCCTTAGTTATCATTTACATATGTTTCTGTACCATCATTTGTTTTTTAACTCATTATTTATAAGCACCATTTTTATTATTATTATTATTTTATTTTGTCCAGAAAACATTTTCTTAATACTCTGTATACCAAATGTTTCATTTGTTTCAGTTCTGATGAGTTTCTTTGTTGTATGCTTGTCTTTGTTTCTCAATAAGCAAAGTTGAATTGCAGGCACATCTACTGTACATATTAACACCAAGTTTCTTGAGTATGATCACAATAACATTTTAACTTAGGGTTGGACAGTGTATTTTCCACACATTTGAGCAAGGATGAAGATACATTGTACCTGAAAATACGAACAATATAACCAATTTTTTTATTAGAGGCTTACAGAGCAATGCACTTCAGTGCATTACATTAAGGAATCCGTAACATCCATCACATTGGCATCGCCTTGTGCTCCGAGCACTAGACTGACTAGATTCATTAGCTGTATGAAGTCGGCATACATTGTACAACTGTTGAATATTATTCATGAGATTGGGAGGTACATGTATGTGAAACGAACGCCAGTAGACACAACTCTCTCTGCATAAGTACAGCGGAGTGCAGCTAGATGTAATGCCCATAAGGACATGTAGTGTATCTCTTTGCGGATAGTAGAAATCTGGAGATGTTGGAGTGGATATTACAAAGCCTTTGTGCATCAGGTCTTGTATCATTTAATTATATTTCACACAGTGTCAAAGATTTTATTCTAAGTAACTATTATGGATTTTCACTTTTTTTAATGCAATTTTGTACATGTACATGCACGTACACTGTATAATTATTCAATTGTCCATTTTTTTTTAAAGTGGATTATGAGCTAATAATATTTAAGATGGATGAGCTCTGCTGAGTCTGCTCATGTTTCAAACATATTTCTCCTCTCTCATATTTATTTTTTTTAGATTTAAATTCAAGGTAAATTAAAAATATTGGAAATGCATTGTGAATGTACTGTACAGTGGATGGATTTCCACTAGTTTCCAATTACAACCTCCTCATTACAATACAGTGCACAGTTGCACACGTGTATATAGTGTATACATGTAATTTTTTTATTATTTTTTATTTTTATTTATTTTCTTTATATATATATATATATATATATATATATATATATTTTTTTTTTTATTTTTATTTTTTATATTTTTTATTATTATTATTATTATTATTATTATTATTATTTTTTTTTTTTTTTTTTGGGGGGGTCACTTTTACAACTACAGTGTACCTGTATATCTTCTCAGCTGTCCTCTTTATCAATAAAGGTCATTAAAGTGTTTGTGATATATTTTTTTGTCTATATATGTATCTACATGCTTGTTTTGTTGGTGTATAATGCATAGTATTGCAAGTTTGTTTGCTATATTTATGTATTTATTAACCTGTCTTTATGCTGTATTTGAATTAACTGAATTGAATTGAATATGCATGCAAATACTCAAAGCTAACTCCAATGGTAGAATTTAAAATTGATGACATAGGGAAAGTAATCAATTTTATGATGGTACATTATGTACCGTTATAATTATAGCCTGTATACTGTATAGTTTAGTCCATGAAGTAGGATATTACAAGGGATAAAATATATTGAGGAATTCATTCTGAAAGCTGTTCTTGTGTACGTTCATCCAGTAATATCAGGCTTAAAGAGATTTGTACTAAATGAAATTTGGGGGGGGGGGGGGGGGGGGGTAGAGCATGATGCATCTGCAATTCTTTCTTTGTGCAATATATAATATATAGTGTACAGCCTTACCATCTCTAGAGGTGGTTTTGTGTGCTTAATTAATTTTCCTTTGATATATATACATGCATGCATATATATGCAGATGCAGATACTTGATTCAATAATTGTCCCTCTCAACCCAGCTGTGTACATGTAGGGTACCTAGCAATGCTGGGAAAGAATAGAAACATTACTGCAATAGTGCAATGACCAAGTAGGCATGAGGTTTAGGTTATGGGTTTATATGTATTTGGTTTATTTGCCAAGATATCTACATTGTACATGTAGATGTATTTGCAGAGAACAGCTAAGTATTTTTTTAGAGAACACGCATAATGGAGCTGTACTCCCCATTGAGCTGGGTAATCTTCATCTGTGTTGATTTTCACACATTTTCCATTGTATTTCTCACATCTTTTCCATTGTATTTCTCACACTCATCTCACCCAATTATTCTCACGTTCATGGATTTTTTTTTTTTTACAGGAATGTAGACCTCTGAAATACCAAGCATGATACACAAAATAAATGAGGCAGTCATTTGATTGAGAGAGCTTTGTGGTATTAACAAAAAAATTGTAGAATGTTTTTGTATAGGTTGTATATTGCAATTATTTTATTGTGTGAAAATTGTTCTTTTTGTTGAATTGCATTACATTCTTTAGTGAAATTCCTTCGAAGATCATACATATTTTGTCCATCAATATGTAAAATCAAAGTTTAGATTTTATAATTATGATGGTCTTTGATTAACATACTGGTCTGAGACTAGATAACCTATTTTTTTCTTTCCATATTTCCCTTTTTTCCATCCAGGAAATCGAGCTTGTAGAAGAACCAGAGTGTACTGAAGTATTCCCAGCATTCCTGAAGTTCCTATACTCGTGTCATATCATCCTGACCATTGAGAACACTCTACCAATTCTGATGCTGGCTGATAAGTACAATGTCTGTGATCTACGCCGGGTCTGCATAGAGTTTGCCACCAACAGCATCATGCCGAAGTTGCCTCTTAAAGATGTCTTCCATGTTTGGTACCAGTATGCTACAAAGTGCTATCATCAAGTGTTGATTACAGCCTCGGTCAAAGCACTCTCTCCCAAAGCTGATGACATTATGTCATTACCAGACTGGAATGTTGAATGGCTTGCTCTTGATAGAGATCAGCTTGTGCAGTTCTTAAAGAGCTCACATCTTACTGTCAGAAATGAACTGCTTGTGTTCAGGGCAGTCATTAAATGGATTGAATCTCCCAAGCATCCAGAACGCATGCAAAAGATGGAAGATCTTCTAAAGGAGATAATCCCTCATATACGCTTTCCTATGATGACTCCTGAGCAACTACAGCAACTGGAGAACCACAGGATTGTTGAACAATTCCCAGCACTCTTTTCAACTTCGCTCCTACATGCTTACAAGTTCAATGCACTTCCTTTAGAATCCCGTGCAAACAACCCAGACTTCTCCTCGACCAGTTACCTACTGAGAAACTACACAGATCTTAGATGGGACAAGAGAATAGTTCTATCAGGGTATTCACAGTTCAACAAGCTACAGGAAGTGATGCCAAGGTTTTCCACCAGATCTTCATCCTACCCTCACTCTAGCTGGGATTGGGAACTCAAGATCTATCCCAAGGGATCTTCATCTAGCAATGAAGACTTCCGCATGATTCTCTATTCCAATGTGGTCCTAGATCAACCTAGACCCATTGAGTACATGGTTCAAGTGGTTAATGATTCAAAGGTACTTGCTGTCACAAGTGGCAAGAAGAACTTCACTAAAGCCCGTTATCACTCAGATACTGACATTGACAAGAAGGTTCCTTTGAATGATCTCATGACATCCTCTAGTCAGTATATTGTTAATGATGAGCTTGTAGTTCAAGTCTTTCTGAAACCTTTACAATGATATGAACTTCTTTCATTTGGAATGGACCAAGCTTAGACTAATTTGATTCCTAACCCTAGTGCTCCTATTTTGAGGTAATTCAATCTCTTGTTCATCTGGGCCTATTGTGAATTTAATTTGCATGCTGTGATTGCATTTTACACTACTGTACACTATTGTGTTACATCTTGAAATGAGTGTGTTGGATTAGACAAAAATCTCTGTAAATTACTATCCCTTTTCTTCTTATCAAATATTAGTCTTTGAAGGGAAATGTCAACTTTATCAATTTGCAATAACGAATGAGAGCATAACAGCCATAGCCCCATGGAAAGACTTTAAAAAACCTGTATTTGAAACAGGCCGTCTGGAAAAGTGGAATGGGTATTCTAAATATACCATGAGTCATCTCTTGATTAGATTTCTTATACTATGTGCCATAGAATTTGTGTTCTAAATATCACCAAATTCCTTTGTTGTGGCAAGTAAAGCAATATCCCATCTAGAAAGGCTATGGTAGACTATTTACTTGATTGTATCAGTTGTATATGTATATGAAAATATGATGAAATACATGATTTTATTTTCATTC